TATTACTGACTAGAAGTTATTTATTGCAGGATGCATACATTAATATATGGATATATTATTTATATGTAAAAAGAATTAAGGATGCAGTCACAGAGCTGATCGATCACAGGTCACCATCGGCCGGCTGCTGGAAGAACACTGACGGGGTCCAGCGACCCCCGCCGGTCGCTTTGCCTCCCAACGGACGGACCAACTTTATTACCCGAATTGCTCACAAACATTTAACTAATAACGAATCCGTACATGCTTCAAACCGAGATTTTTTCAAGAATAGTACATACAAATTATAATTTCTAGTGCTAGGTCTCGGATAACAGATGCTCGTTAAGACTAGACACGCAGACATGAACGCTCAGGCGCTTTAGCCTCAACGGGGGGGGGGGGCGGTGCCCCTCAGAGAGAGGGGTCGGCGCTCCCTTTTGCCCCCTTAAAGAGGGGGCGGCGCTCTCTCTTGTATCGAGCAGCTCTAAGCTAACTTACACAAGCAGGCGCTCGCATCCACTCAGAGAAACGAGCGAAACTTTGTCCGAATAGCGATGCACTTTCCGCCCATGCACGAGTCATCCGGAACCAATTTGTCCCGGTACAAAGGCGCAACAGTGCTAGGTGCAGAAAATGTATATAACTATTTGGACAATACGTCGAAATTTTTCTTGTGTGTCTCCTCTCGGTCTCAGCCCCCTGGCTGCCACGAGAGTAGCCTGGGGAGCGAGGCTATTATATTATAATATCCTCGTAAGCTACTATAAGTAAAGCAATTCGGAAACAATATAATCCTTATTATCAATCGGACAGAGCCGCCCAAGCTTATTAGCTTCATTACCACATTTGAAGTAGCATAATGTTCACTCTCTCATAAATATTGGTTAATTTGATTAATATAAATACTGTAACACTCGCGGCATACAGTTTCATATTAAGAGTGACATAGCAATACGCTTTTCAAATAATTGTGTGGGTCATCCTGACTGGGTAAGAAACTGCCACGTCCGCTCTCTGCTTGTGCTGTGGGTAAGAAAGTGTCACTATTTGGACAATATGACCCATTCATATCTCTTCGTATACTCGTGAGCTCAAGCGATGTCCACACAGAGCAGGCACGACTTGCCTGCTCAATTAAATTAACAGGACGTGCACTTTATGAGAACACATACACCTACGCGGCAGAAAAAACCTATAGTGGCATCCCTTCTAGCGGCAAAACTAGTGACATCCTTCCACCCACTAAAATTGAGGTGGTAATGTGAGTGTGTGTGTAAAGGTAATCTAATAACGCAAACGTCAGGCTTGTATGGTAACCATTTTTTTGCTATTTACTTGTTGTGTCAAGAGATTCATATTTTTTTTTTAGACCCAACGCTATTATTAATGTACTGTCAGTATCGCGAAATGTTTCCTCGACTTTCTGAAATTCGCGAAATCAGCATGATACGTTTTTTTTTCAGAGTGACAGATTGATATTTTTATCATTTCGTACACCCGACGAAGATTTTTATTATTGGGGCTGAGTCTTCTGAAGATAGAAGACAACCTCAGAATATAGGATCCGGATAAATGATTGATAAATCCTACGCCTATATTCATGTCATCAAATACGGTTATCTCAAGGTTAGCTCATCACGGTTATAAAATACGGTTAGCTTGTCAAACCGATGTCTCCAGAAACGTGTATCCGAGTTTGCTGGTAGTGCGAACGACTTCGCTTAATTAAAAGATAAATCAACGAGTAACCAACTTAATGCAGCTTTAAATCCCAAATGAAGCTTTAAATCCCAATTTTTAAAGACTTTTGAACCCCTCACACCCCCTTGTTCAAAGAGAGTCGACATGGAATGCCATCAACATATCTGTCAGAGAATATTATGAATAAAATGATTAACTACTAGCAAAGAATGAAAACATCTTAATTGAAACAATTTGCACCGAGGTAAATTGAAAGCAATGAATAAGACGGCAAACTACGAAATCAAAAACCAATTGAGACGATCAACAATTTTATAACATTCATCGGGAACTCGTTCAGTCGAGCAGTTCAATTTATGTGGCCTGTACAACTTACTCAATTTTAGGATTGTGGAATGATTTATTGTCATGATTTGAATTGATATAACGATAAATTTACAGGTTCGGCAAACACGAGTACGGCGCTGAATTCGATAATACGGCCCCCGTACAGTAGTTGGTAGATAGACTTATGAACTTGATCTACTTTGATAATACGGCCCCGAATTTTCAGAGGAGCCGGGTGCGCTTTTCACGCCAGCGCCGAGACAACGGCAGAGCCATACAGAGAATCGATTCAGCGCTCTCTACGAGAGAGAAGCTACGCACGCGCTACAATGGGCACACGCGCGACATGGGGGCACACGCGCGACATGGGGGCACACGCGCGACATGGGGGCACACGCGCGACATGGGGGCACACGCGCTACATGGGGGCACACGCGCTACATGGGGGCACACGCGCTACATGGGGGCACACGCGCTACATGGGGGCACACGCGCTACATGGGCTGTCTCTTATACACATCTAGATGTGTATAAGAGACAGGTATTATTACCAGCTCTTGTATGAACAGAAAATTCAACGCTACACGATTGCCTCTGCCCTAAATGCAGGTGAATTTGCACTGGTCGTTTGTTATAGGCTTGAGCTGTAGCACCACTCAGAGGAATGAGTGACACATTGCTCAAATATCGATGCACTGTTGCCGTTATGTGGGTGATCCCAACCCAGTTTAGTCCCGTAAAATGACGTACCAATGTTACGTGCAAAAGTGTTTTTTTTTTAGGTTTTAGTCAGCCATTTCAATTGGAATGAGAGTGTTGCAAATTAGCACGAGTCACAGCGTTTCTAGTCAACATGACCAACAGCGTTCAATTCAGCATATAACTAACAGCGTTTTCAATCAGCATGACTAACAGCGTTTCTAATCAGCATGAATATAACAGCGTTTCAAATCAGCATGACTAACAGCGTTTCAAATCAGCATGACTAACAGCGTTTCTAATCAGCATGACTAACAGCGTTTTAATTCAGCACGATTAACAACGTTTCTAATCGCTGTGACAAGATAGCATCAACTACTTTTATGAGGCAACGGCCTCTTTTAACAAATCTAAATTCAAACGCCACCATTACTAACAAGGTTTCGTAAATTTCTAATTTATTTCGCGCAAATCTAATTAACAGACGCATAAAAAATTGGCACGAGTGCTAGAAAAAAGACACGAAATAAAGACTAAACAACGATGTTTGTAAAGGTCACAACTGAGGCAGGAGATGGGAGGGGTAGAAATGTTAACTTCAACTATAAACTTTTTAAATTCAAACTTAAAAGTATAATAGGTATATACTTTGTTCACTTTTACAACGTCTAGGCGGAACGAAAACATTCATTAGTGAGACGTTTGCCTGGATAAATTAAAAGTTTATCTACACAAATGATGAATTTTCAAAATTTGCTGGTAATTTGCTGGTCTAATGGAATTTCAGTGAACGAGCAAACTTGACTAAATCAGTAAATCGAAAGCAATTAATTCAGTCGGACAAGATTTCAGGGGTCAATGGTTGGGATGATGATGATGAAGGTTAGAAAGATGATGGTTATGATGGTGATGGTTAACTTGGTAATGGTTAGGATGACGTAGACGTAGAACCTGTCGATGGTTATAGAGCTGATAGTATCAGCCATTAATGGTATAGAGTTAATGGTATGAGTCTAGGATGATAGAGCTAATGGTGCTGTGTTAGAGGTGATGATGGCAGTTTAGTGTGATGATGGCAGCAGCGCCCACTGGAGGGGAGGGGGGTTAGGGGAGCTTGAGGGGATGCCGGCGCAGCGACGATGGCATCCCCTTTAGGGATCTGGGGGAGTGTGGAGGGGGAGGGGTGAGGGGGAGGGGGCTGGGGAGAGGATGAGTAGGAATTGGAGCGAGGGCAAGAGAGGGGAGGAAGAAGTGAGGGAGTAGGAGGAGAGGAGGGGGCAGAAGTGGAGGGAGGAGAACATGGATGGGGAGAAAAGAGGAGTAGGAATGGGAAGGAAGAGGGAAAGAGAGAAGAGATAGGAGAAGAGAGAAGAGAAGAGGGGGAAGAGAGGAGAAGAGGGGGAAGAGAGGAGAAGAGGGGGAAGAGAGGAGTGAGAGAGGGAGAAGAGAGAAGAGGAGGAAGAGAGAAGAGAGAGGAAGAAGAGAGAGGGAGAAGAGAGAGGGAGAAGAGAGAAGAGAAGAGGGGGAAGAGAGAAGAGGGGGAAGAGAGGAGTGAGAGAGGGGAAGAGAGAAGAGAGAGGGAGAAGAGAAGAGGGGGAAGAGAGAAGAGAGGAGAAGAGAGAGGGTAAGTCTACTTTCAAATGGCCACGTGAAAGACGGAATTTTCTATCAAGTTTGTTCCTACGGGAAACGACGAAAAAATTATTCAAAATAGAAAAAATTTACCGTCACGACCCCGGCGATGATGAATGCAGCTCAGAGGAAGATGATTGGTGTACAAGTGAATTAAGTACATCCACACATTACACGATAGCCATACCAGACAGAGATTGTCATCAACACGCAATCTTAATACAGACAAATGAAAAGTGTGCGTGTCGAGGTTGAGGAAGCCTGGGGCTGCTAGGGGGAAGAGATAGGGATGCTAAGGGATTACTACGTTTCCCGTAATTATCCCTTAGTATCCCTGCTAGGGATACTAAGGCCTGGGACTGCTACGTCCAAAACACTAAAGACACAATAAGAGCGTCACGCACGTCGCTTGAATTCACCCAAATGCGCGTAAAAGAAAATGTAATAATTCAAGAGTCTGGTGGAGCGGTCGCTGAACGCAACGTCGAGACCAGACGGCCTAACGCGGTTGAATTTCTCAGACAGGCTCTGCCTGTCTGAGAAATTCAACCGCAATATTAAATAAATAAATTCAACCGCAATATTAAAATGCCACAGCGGCATAGATGTCACGCCACATGCCACACGCCACCATGTCACGCCACATGCCACATGCCAACCTGCCAGCCTGCACGAGGTCAGCAGTGAAGGAGGCAGAGGCAGGCAGGGCAGGCAGGCGGCCGTACAGGAACTGGAAGCTGCGGGGGCTCCAGGCACACCCAGCGGGGGGGGGGGGTGAGTGGGATGGTTGTAGGGTGAGTGGAATGGTTGTAGGGTGAGTGGAATGGTTGTAGGGTGAGAGGGATGGTTGTAGGGTGAGTGAGATGGTTGTAGGGTGAGTGGGATGGTTGTAGGGTGAGAGGGATGGTTGTAGGGTGAGTGAGATGGTTGTAGGGTGAGTGGAATGGTTGTAGGGTGAGTGGAATGGTTGTATAATGGTTGAGACAACTCGAAATTTGGCGGCGACAGGCAGTAATAGCAGAGGATGACAATTAGCATACAAGGATACCGAGAACAGACACACGACGGAGCAAGAATAAAATTATTGAGATAACAACAGGCAAGAAGTAAGGAGTCGACAGTAAAATGCAGCACAAGATAACGCATGCAGTAAAGATAAGAGTAAGTGGCATATGAACAATAGGACAAACACATCGTAATAATAATACGTAAAGTAATCGTATTACGCAAATACGTAAAGTAATAATCGTAATACGTAAAGTAATAATTCAGAACAAAAAAATCAAAAGATAAATACCGAAGTGTTCCAGGGAGGCAGCATGGAAGAAATGTAATAACGTTAGTTCACAATGACTTCTAATTTATATCTAAATTAGTATTATATATAATACATATTAATGCCACAGATACTGGCAAAAGTAGAGGTTCCCCTAGCAAATGAAACCATTAACGATGATTAAGAAATGTATTATGCCGATGGTTAGACCACTACACTGGACATTAAGAAAATGTTATATAAATGTCGGAAATACTTTCTTAAATTTGATAATAAGTGCGTAGCAAACATTAGGTCACACTCAGAGTGTGACAGTCCAAATGGTGATGCACTTTTTCCCCTATGTGGGTCTTCTTGGACCAGTTAGCCCGGTAAAAGGGCGTATCAGCATGTAAGTAAGAAATGGAGTTTCTATACGGATAATATGTTCCACTCTTTATACCTGCATGGGTGCAGGTATATAATCAATAGCAGACGCTTAAATATTCCTCCTCTTCACAGGCCTGACAGCTGACAAACAGCACTCTAAATATTCCTCTAAAATATTCCTCGGCCGCAAATGAGCCAGTCTCTGCGGCTGACAAATAATTTGAGCTCTGAAATTACAATGCGCTCTAAATCCTATAATAAAAATCCCCTAGTCGGCGGAGTGGGGACAAATTTTGACCCTGGAGCATCCACACCGCAGTCGGTGCGAACAAATTGCGATTCCAACGCATACGATTCTAAGCTGGGATTCCAAGCGGCGATACCAACACATACGATTCTAACGGCGATTCCAACGAATGACGGTCTGTGATTCTAACGGCGATTTTAACGGCAATTCTAATGGTGATTCCAACGCATACAATTCCAGCGACAATTCACACGCATGCGATTCCAACTAGTAGTGCGCATCACAATACTGACAAGTGTTCGGAAAATAAAGGCGCTGCACGGCCCAGCTGAGCGACGCACAGCTCTGGATTTCGTGACCCACTTCCAGAATGGAAAATAGAAACGTGTTAATTCAGTGGACGTTAAACGCTGACGGCTTGAGAAATTTCCCTGATAAAAAAACTGCACTAAACTATTCTTGACAATATGAACTTAATGTTTAACTAAAGGTGCAAGTTTACACCAGTTACTGATCGAATTTAAAATCGACGTTTTCTGTTATGGGGGTTTTCTGTGAACAATCACACTCGCCAGAGCGGTAACTACTATAAACATAATAATGACGCAATCGTTTCAGTGCTTAAACACAATACTATTTTTTGAACCTAAATCACAGGTTGAGGATTTCAACACAATGGAAGAACAATCACTTCAATTATATATAATTATTAATTTCAATTCAACACAGTGAATGGTATTATTCATACTTCGAAGTTTGAAAGATCCCAGCGGGGTGAAAACCAAAGTTAACTTTCGAATAAAAAATGTCTGCTTATATTGGGGCAACAGGGACACGCATTTGTCATTAATATTACATAGGCGTTAGTTTATACGCGTTGAATTCGTGAGAAGGATTAGTTCGTAAGACGAATAAGTTCTTAACACGAGTTAGTTCGGAAACAGGATGGGGTTATATACGAAGTAGAGTTAGTTCGTAATGCCAGTTCGTAATTCCGTAGTGTGCAGCTAAGCCAGCTTCAAAATTATAAAAAAAATCAATTTCCGTCAAGCTTTTTATCGAATTCTCAGTTACCGTGAGGCAGACAGACATAGACAGTAAATTAGCAGCAACACCCGCAGCATCACAGCGTACATTTGTAATTAAAGGCTATTTTGAGAGTTTTGTGATTAAAAGGTAGATATAGGGCTCTAATAGAGTCCTATATATACCCTTTATATAAAGGCTATAAGGGCTCTCACAGAATGAATCCCGACATCAAGCCTTGATATAGGGCGACAAAAAATTGAATAAAAAATTCAATTACCAAATAGCCATTCGGAGGAAAAAAATAAACAAAAATGAGAGGAACACCACGAAAAAAACTTACATATGATGATATAATTATTCATGAAGAATTTTTTCAATGTACCTTAAAATAAACGAGAGAAGATTTGCGGGCTCTTTTGATGTCCTAACTTGCATTGTAAATTAGAAGAAATCACAACCGAAAATGTTAAAGCCCGCAACGAAAATAATCGGAAGCAGACTTAGTAGTAATTATTGTAAGTAGACAAAGGGGGTAATCAATAATTATTAACATTGCATTAATTTCACAATAATAAGTTAATTCACGGAGCAGCTGATGAGCTGAGTGTAAATATAACCGTGACGTCACACGTATCGAGCGCCCGTGTCACGTGTCGAGGCGTGACAGACACAAGGCTTCACACGCACGGTGCATTCGTCAGTACATAACATACCTAATGAGACAAATACTACGTTGTAACATTGATGATTAAATAATCTGTCTCTCCATATTTAAAATGCATAACGAATTTTAGAAATAAAAACGTCCTTCTCGTGTCACTCAAATACGTAACCATTATCACGATGAAGTAAAGGGTCTGTCTCTCGGCTCTCAAAATATACAATATAAAATTTCACTCACACACAAAAAAGCATTCCGTCTCTAGCCTGTTAATTTCGCGCACCTTAAAATTTTCTTTCCAACAAAAAAACTACCGATTAAAAACTATTGATTTTTGGCTTCATTTTACGAGTAAGTCGCGAGAGTCCTGGGTTAAGTCCCGAGCAAGAGATAATTATGTATCTTTAAATAGAGTCTATCTATACACTAGATCTATAATTTCATTGAATTCAAATTATTAAATTCAAATTGAATTTGGTCGCCGACTGGTAAGACATCGGAAATATAAGCTATTTTATAAAAACTGATAAGTTTAATGGAAAAGCACTGCATGCGAGCACTTGGGCAGTAATGGTGTAGGGACGGCACAGTAATGGTATAGTAATAGCACAGCAGTAGCACAGTAATTGTACGCTAATGGTGCAGTAATACTAATAGCACAGTAATGGTACAGTAACTCACGACTGGCTCTCCATCACGGTCTTCAGGGACTGGTAAAGTATATATACTTACAATAAGGCAGTAACGGCACTTTAATTTTGCAATAACCATACACTAACAGTACAGTAATGAAGTAACTCACGGTTGACTCTCCATCACGGTCTTCGGGGACTGGTAGGGTATATATACGTACAATAAGGTAACAGCACTTTATGGTGCAGCAACAATAAAGTAATAGAATAAAGTAATAGTAAAAGTACAGTAATAAAGTAACTCACGGCTGGCTCTCCCTGACGGTCTTGAAGGACAGGTTTATGTCATAACTGAGTTTCACAATAAAGTAATAGAATAAAGTATGAGTAGAGTAATAAAGTAACTCACGGCTGGCTCTCCCTGACGGTCTTGAAGGACTGGTTGATGTCATCACTGAGTTTCACAATAAAGTAATAGAATAAAGTATGAGTAGAGTAATAAAGTAACTCACGGCTGGCTCTCCCTGACGGTCTTGAAGGACTGGTTGATGTCATCACTGAGTTTCACAATAAAGTAATAGAATAAAGTAATAGTACAGTAATAAAATAACTCACGGCTGGCTCTCCCTGACGGTCTTGAAGGACTGGTTGATGTCAAGTAATAGAATAAAGTAATAGTACAGTAATAAAGTAACTCACGGCTGGCTCTCCCTGACGGTCTTGAAGGACTGGTTGATGTCATCACTGAGTTCCTTCCAGACGGTGATGCCGAGACGTCTCTTGAGCTCGTGCGCGTGGTTCACTTTAGAGGCGAGCACCGTGCGCAGCGTGCTGATCTCTTCCTCGGTCTACCGTACAAGTGACATGTAGTGTGCTATCATATCACTCACTAGTAAAAATAACTTTAATTTACAATAATAATGTCGTCACGTACTTTGATCATTATATTTGTTATCTCTAATATTTGTATTCTCAGTATAATTAATACTTAACACATAGCAACAAAAGGCTACACACTTTAGCCAGCTCAGCGTTTCACTCACAATAAGTGTCATTATCTTCTTCATTATAACTATTATTGTCATCATTTGCAATATATGTCTATTCAATACTTGACATCAAAACTACACATCTTAGCCAGCTCAGCCTCTCACTCACAATAAGTGTCATTATCTTTATCATTATAACTACTATCGTTTTCTTCGTCATTATAACTATTATCTTTATTATTTGTATTATAAGTATATTCAATACTTAACAACAAAGCAACACACCTTAGCCAGCTCAGCCTCCCACTCCTTGTTCTGCCGCTCCTGCTCCTCAGGCGACAGCGTCAGGTTCTCATGCACGCCTGAGTCGGGGGTGCTAACTTCGGGAGCTGTCAAACAAAAATATCATATTAATATACTATATGCATAGATAATATGAATACAAAATATAAATTCATATGGAGTTTATATGTGATCGGGAACAACTGAGTCAGGGATGTTCACTTCGGGAGCTGTTAAGAAACCTATTTAATATACACACAATAAAATATGCATGTATAGAGGAGTGAATACAAAATATACAATAAAATGATGTGAACATGACACCTTTTATCCCTGAGTCGGGTATGCTGACATCAGTCGCTGCAGTTCGAACATCAAAAGAAAAAACACACACAGGATAACCATGTCTATGGCATGAGAAAATGTGCTTTTCCCTTGGCACCTGTAGAACCTCCAGGGTTACCTTGGCACCTTTATCTGCCTACGCCATGGGAAAATTCTAGAAAAAAGCGACCCTTCAACACCCTCAGTTACAAAGTCTTTGGCACCCTGTTAATAAGCAAGCTCCATAATTTACCTAGTTAGGCATCTAAGTAAAGTTACCGAGCTGGACCACTCATTTACACAGTTAGCTCCCTAAGTTACCTAGTTCAGCATCTAATTTACCTAGCTAGGCCACTAATTTATCTAGCTAGGCCACTAAGTTAGTCTACTGACAACAATGTAAGCATCACTAGTTATGGTCCAGTTTATTCGGTCTTCATAGATGATTTAGAATACCTCTTAAAAAACGGAAGATGCGAATCCTTAGAACGCTACACACTCAAAAAGTTCTTGGGCTCAGTTCTGTTCGTGACAAGTTCAAAAGATCTTTTCTTCCCTTCGCATTGTTTTGTTGACCATTGTTACGCCGCAAAAAACAGCACAAGAAATTTACAGAAGACGTTGATATAGGAACAAAATTGATGAAAACAAAAGAACAAGAGCTACAAATCTAGAGAGTAAATAAATATTTATAATAGGCCTATTATAAACCCAATAATAACGACAGAGATGAAATTAATCGATATCACCGAAAAAAAAAGAAACTGAGTTACACACCGAGCAGCGTTCGTATCCTGCGCTTGCAGCGGTCAGGCAAGCCCCTAAGCGACAGAGGGACTCTTCGAGCCAAGTCCCTGAAGTCTTCTTTTAAGCCATCAGGAGACTGGAGAAGTCCATCAGAAGACTGACGAGGTTTTCTGAGAAGTATTATCTTGCGTCGCAACTTGCCGTCAATGTCAGACACCCAAGTAGACTTGATCTTGATGACTGATCGCTCCAGTTTTGGGTCGGTGTTCTGGAACCCCGACCGATGTAAGTCATGTCCAAGTGAAGGGTTATGTTCCTCAAGGTTCATGAGCTGGAGGTACCTAACGTGCTCGTCGTGAGATGTCACTCGGGATCGGTATTCCTTGGAGAGATTATCATATACAACTTTGATGTTACCATCCGGCGCGAAATATGCTTCCGCGACTTCGTCATCTTCGTAGCTTGGAACACTGGGAAGTCGAGTAACCAGTTGAGCGGAGTTCAATGTGTCAACATAGTTGACATTCGCAGCTGAAAGTTTTCGAAGAAACCGACCAGCCGTCACCAGAACGCTGCCTGTTTCATTGACGTTCGCAGATCGTGCGCCGTTTGTTCCTACTGAACAAGCGTCCGTACGTTCATTTTCAAAGTTGTGTCCTTCCTGTGTAGTGCAATCAAATGTGTCACAGCAGCTGTCAGTGCTGTGGTCGCCAGTGCTGTGGTCATCTTGAAAGCTGCTAGGACCTGACGCACTGAAATCAATATCGAGGTCGAGGTAGTCGCGATTAACGGAAATCCCCATCGCACGAAGCTGCTCCAACAAAGCTTCGGAATTGTCTAGATGACTGAGCGTTTTCGGGTCATTAACGAACTGGTAATTTAAAGAAGGGTCTTCGTATTCCAGTACGGACATAACGTACTGGTTGAAGTCCGTCGGTGTGTCGTCCAAGAATTCCTCCGAGTTCTTGATCGTGGCGCTCCACAAAGACAAAGGTTCTTCGGTTGCATCGTCAGGCAGGTTTGTGAGACGAGAGTTTGCGTTAGCGATAATGTACGATAAGCTAGGATAATCAGAGGTGTCGGTACACATATCATCATTCTTCGCTTCGTCATTACCGGGAATATCGTCACATGTGTCCAGAGCATCGTGGTATTGGTCGGTCATCGAGTCCAGGTTATCGGATGTGGTAGACATGCTGGTATCCAGATCCGAATTCCGTTTAGAAGAATCATTCAAAGTGGACATGTTGGTATTTATGTCTGAATTCCGTTTAAGTGAAGAATCCGTCGAGGAAGGGGGCGACTTGCTACCTGATTTCAACAATTGCCCAGGATATAGTGTGCTATACTTGCCTTTTTCAAATATTTGAATTTCAACGAATTCTTCAGAATCTCCGATGTTGTTGTTAGTAAAATCATCTTTTTTGCGGTTCTCCATGCCCAGTTTAAAACAAAAAATTACATAGAACTATAAACCTATAAATTCAAATAATTCAATGTAACTGTACATGTCACACCATAACGACAATCCATCTCGTTATCTTCATACTCCGAGGCCATACCACCATATAAATTCTATACTCTCGTCCGCCTCACATTTCACTTAGTATCAAATACACTGAAAATGGCAAGAAACTTTTTATCATTTGTACGTAGCGTGCAAGCTTTTGCGTTCAATGTGCATTGACAAGCGAATATACACGCTTGCATCACATCATTAAGCAAAGAATGAATTTGAGTCTATATGAAACTCACTTGAATATGAACACCAAGTAACTAACTGCGCAGTGAAATAGTTAATGCGGAAATTTTTTTAAAGAATTTAAATTCCTCAAGCGACATTATAGACTATGGAATCAGTCAAGCGGTGCGTACAGCGTATCAGTCAAGCGGTGCGTACAGCGTATCAGTCAAGTGGTGCGTACAGCGTATCAGTCAAGTGGTGTGTACAGCGTATCAGTCAAGTGGTGCGTACAGCGTATCAGTCAAGTGGTGCGTACAGCGTATCAGTCAAGCGGTGCGTACAGCGTATAAGATCAGTCAAGCGGTGCGTACAGCGTATCAGTCAAGCGGTGCGTACAGCGTATCACTCAAGTGGTGCGTAAGGCGCAATGACTTCGTGAAGATAATCACTCGAGGCATATTAGCGTGACGAGAGGGATCACTCTCATCATTGTACAAATATCATCACTATTCGTACATAGTCCCAGTCATTTCTCTGGGTGCAGTACAAGTTTCTCACGCTTCACTGAACAACAAATGACGTTATTCAGCTTCCGCCATGGGCCCAGCTTTCTACAACCACATCACCAATTCTGGTGCAGGCAAATGAACAGTTCAGACACGGTCATGTACTGCAGAAATATTCATGTATCACTCGGAAGAATTACTGGGTCATACTGTGTAAATAGCGACACACTTTCTACAGGTATCACTGATACGCCCTTCTGCCGAACTAAAATGGCTGTGGATGACCCACAGAAAATAAAAAAAAAAACGTATCTCTATTTTTCCGAAACCTCGCTCATTTTTTCAAGTGTAAGCTCAGAGTTAATATCACTGAGGGGAAATTAACACGGATAAGCAGGGACGCGTGTCAAGCACGTGGAAGAGGCACACGTGTACACGTCATCACAGTCAGAATGACACTAAACAACTGTGGACTCGAGCGCGTGCTTATGGAGGGAGGGGGCGGCACCTCCAGCACCAAGGGTGCAGTTAGACGACGTTCACGAGGAAACTGGAACGTGACGTCACAACGTCGATATTACGTCACTACTTCCATACTACGTAACGACGTGTAGTTTACGTCACAGCGTCGACGTTACGTTGTGTTTACACTACCATCATTGGCATTCATTGTTACCAACTTGCCGCAGCACTCAAGTCGCCGGCGTTTTCAAGAAACTATATATTTTTGTGCTTTTTGTAAAAAATCACAAAATATATAAAAAATATGAATAAAATATTATATATAATAAAAATATAACAAATACCGTATGTAATATAAAATATTTTTGTTTGTGTAAAAAAAATTATATATTTTTGTGATATTTTATTTATTATAGCATCAACTTCGTAGCGCGGTCGAAAAGACTTCGTAGTTAGTATGTGGCAATTGAACCACACAAAGCGTAGTTCTGACAATTATTATATGGTTTTTCGTGACGAGCTGTGAAGTATATATACAATGACGTTACAAAAAAATCATAAAAATATTCATGTTGGAGTGAACGACTTATGAGACACCTAAGACATAGGATGCTCTGGCGTGGGTCGTGGGTCATCTCGACCTAGATTGGCCCAGCCAAAGGACATATCACTGCGATGCGTGTTGAAAATGACACTATTTGGACAACGTGTTTTATTATTTTTTTTTGCGAGTAAGATTATAGTTGTTCATGATAACAACACAAACACAGTAATAACCTCCACAAAATAGGCGCTCAATGTAAGGTCATGTGTACAAAATAATACCAGCCACCCAGTAGGCTTTTTAAACACTTGACAACCACTTAATACTACGGACTTTTTCTCCTGTAAATAAATAGTCCAGAAGAAGGAAATACTCCAGGAAAATTTTCATCCCCAGTTAAATAACCATACCATTTTCACAGCCCAAATACCCAAGCCTTCTTCACAGCCCAAATAACTAAGCCTTCTTCACAGCCCAAATAACTAAGCCTTCTTCACAGCCCAAATAACTAAGCCTTCTTCCCAGCCCAAATAACCAAGCCTTCTTCCCAGACCAAATAACTAAGCCTTCTTCACAGCCCAAATAACCAAGCCTTCTTCACAGCTCAAATAATCAAGCCTTCTTCACAGCCCAAATAACCAAGCCTTCTTCACAGCCCAAATAACCAAGCCTTCTTCACAGCTCAAATAATCAAGCCTTCTTCACAGCTCAAATAATCAAGCCTTCTTCACAACGAAAAAGCATCACACTTTGCTCCACTGAAACCTGACCGAAGAAGCGTTCGCTCGTATTTAGTCGCTGCAAGACGAGAGTTTGACTTCGTTATGGTCTAATTACGAG